TCTTCTGACATGAGACAGATTTTGGATTTTCCTTTAACAAGCATACTTGGGTTTAGAGGAGAGAGTCATGTTCCAACTCCAAAGCAAGCTTTAATTTTTAATTGAACTTGGACAACCAAAAGACCATTTGCATTATATGCCTGTAGAGGGTAGCAGTAGCAAACATTTGGGAAGATACATAAAATTTTATCCTGTTGGAAATATGATATACCAATAGACCAATTGACTCTTTTTCTTGGGGCATTTTCTCTGGATGATCCATCCTTTCTCTTCAGATGTCACATTTGTTCAGTGGTCTTCAGGTTCCTTAGCTGAATGTCTTCATTCTCCTGAAAAGACAAAAACAAAACCCTGCCACAATCCTAACTTTGGGGAGGTTTATCAAGTGTCAAGTTTTGTCTAGGGAAATGAAAAGTATTTGTTAGTTTTATAAGTTAGTTTAGATTAAATGGTCAAATCAACAGATCTAGCTCTGGTTTCTCCTGAAATTTTTATTTTATCTTCTAAAGGTGTTCTATCATCTAGAGCAGTAAAATCTTTTTGTTTTTACAATAGCCATTAGTACTTTAATTACTCTGAGGAGTTTCCCCCATGATGACAGGAAATGATTGGACCAAATTTGACATGGGGGTATTTGAGAGACCCTCCCCCAAGGTGTTCCTGATGGCAAAGAGTTACCTTGTCTGTCCCTTGTTGATGTCTACTCATTGGTCCAATGTTGACCTTTACAGCACCTTCTGCATACTTCAGAAGGAGAGGGCCTTTGATTTGATTATTCCTGGAAGAAACATTCTTTCTAGGAATGTTCTGCCTACAATTCCTTTTTAGGTGTCCTTGTTTGCCACTATTAAAACACCTGACATTTTGATTTTTCTAAGTCTCTGGAAATCACCTCTCCTACCCAAGCATCATCATGGTTATGAGATTCAATATTGACTATATCATGGATCCATTCCTCTATGGTTGATGATTTGCCATGATCAGCATTCTGCATTATCCTTTTGCATTATGGATCAGCATTTTCATAAGCCAGAGATTCAATTATCATTTGTCTGGCTTCTGAATTTGGTATCATTATATTTGCAATTGAAGTCAATCTTTGAAATAAATCAGAATAAGGTTTCTTTTGGGCCCTGAATAACTTTAGTAAATGACTCAGTTCTCTTTCCAACTTCACTTCTGTCCCAAGCATTCAAAGCTGCTGCAGTGCATGGAGCCAAGGTGTGGTCATCATATGGAGGCTGTCTTTGTACATCAGCAGAATCTTCCTCTCTAAGAAGGGTCCTGGGAAATTTCAATACCTCTAGTGCTACTTCATTGTTCAACGGTCCTAGCCTCATCTTTCCACCAGGCCCTCCACTGCAGTTGAAGACCAGGCTCCAGTACTACAGTAGCCAAGTCTTTGCAGTCTTGTGGGACAACTCTGTTATTAGGTGACCATATATTTAACATCTGCTTCACAGAAGGTGAATGCATACTATATGAAGCTATCACTTCCTTACAGCTCCTCAAATCTTAACAGTTCCACAGGCATTCAGTCAGCTCTTACACAGCCTTGGGGTTATCTGTCACTGGGCGGTTCCCATAAGGTGACTACATAAATTAAGGTGAGCTGTTTGAAATCCTTAGGCTGTTCCTCTTTAATTTTATAAATGTAATACTTTGTTTGCTTCTCATTTAAGTTCCCATCTGCCTGAATATCTCTCTCTCTCTCTCTCTCTCTCTCTCTCTGGTTTTTCAAGACAGGGTTTCTCTGTGGCTTTGGAGGCTGTCCAGGAACTAGCTCTTATAGACCAGGCCGGTCATGAACTCACAGAGCTCCACCTGCCTCTGCCTCCCAAGTGCTGGAATTAAAGGTGTGCACCACCACCCGGCTAGTCTGAATATCTCTTAAGGCTTGTAAGTTAACATTCAAAAATGACATAATTTTCTCTACTAACTTTTTCTGAGGACTGCATCTTGGCACTCATATCAACCAACTTTTTTTAGGGATAAGCAAGAATTACCAAACCAATAATGTTTATAACTGACACTGTGTAAACTTCAGCTAAGTTAATTGTCTACACTTATTTTTTTCATTTTTAAACAATCAACTATGTAATCATACAGAGACCTAACTCCCTCCATCATGTTTCCAATTTTTGAATGGGGGGAATTCCCTATTTTTAAAGTAACACCCCCTTTAAGAATTAAGAATTCCCCAGACTACAGCCAGGATTTTTGCATCTCCTTAGAATCCCCCATGACAGCGCCCCTTACCAGCAGGAAGTAGTTTGGAAAGAATGACGCCCAAATTCCCAAATATTGTCTATAAATGTTTGTTTTCATTTAAATGGACTTGGTTATTTAAAAAAAAAAGAGAAAAAAAAAAGAATTAAGAATTCCTAAATATCTCACTCAATCTGGTAATGATGACAGAGATCTGTGACACACAGCATGTCTGAGCAGAGAACACAGACAGAGAGCAACCTGGCTGGGGACAGTGGCCACTGATCTTGTATCAGAAGCCTGAGGAGGGGGGTTAGGGAAAGCCCACACCCACAGGGGAAAAGGAAAAACTGAAGGACCAGCTATCTACACCGGGTAATGTGCCAAATCAGCTAATTCCATCAGGGTTTGGAACCCAAGCATCTGTGGCATTTGCTATAGAGAGGCTCCACCAGAAAAATCAGACTCGCTCATAGGACTTGGGAAAGGCAGCTGGTGGTGCAGGGATAAGAAAATGTAATAACTCACACCGCCAGAGAAACTAGGATACAAGGAGGAACCTAAGAGATTCATACAAGTTCCCTCACAGAAGGAGCAAGGAATAAGATCTCCTGAGCATATTGGGAGTGGTGAGGGCAGTAAGTGGAGAGGGAGTTAGGAGAAAGAGAAGGGGAGAAGAGGAGAACATGTGGGACCAGGAAGATTGAGTCGTGGGACAGACAAAGTAAAATAAAAAAGGATACCATAATAGAGGGAGCCATTATAGGTATGAAGAGAAAACTGACTCTAGAGAAATGTTCAGAGACCTACAAGACTGACCCCAACTAACAATCTGAGCAACAGTGGAAAGGATACCTTAAATGCCCTTCCCCTATAAAGAGAATGATGACTACCTTAAATGTTATCCTAGAGCATTCATCCAGTAGCTGATGGAAGCAGAAGAAGACACCCATAGGTAAGAACTAAGCCTAACTCCTGGAATCCAGTTGTAGAAAGGGAGGAGTGATTAACAAAGGGTTTAAGACCATGCTGGAGAAACCCACAGAAAGAGCTGACCTGAGCAAGGGGGAGCATAAGGACACCAATCTAACAGTTGGGGAACCAGCATAGGACCAGACCAGTCCAACTGCACTTGGGTATCAGCTAGGAGGCCTAGGCAGTCTATACGGCCTCTGGCAGTGGAACCAATATTTATCCCTAGTATAAGAATGGACTTCAGGAGCCCATTCCCCATTGAGGGATACACTCGGCCTAGATACAGGGTGAAGAACCTAGGCCAAATGACTTGACAGACTTAGAGATCCCTCATGGAAGGGCTCACCTTCCCTGGGGAGTGGACAGGAGATGGGATGGAGGATATATGGGGGGGGGCATGGGAGGATGGGAGAAAAGGGATTGAGATACAAGATTGCTTCTAAAACGAACACAAAGGGTGCTTTAGAGAGAGAGAGAGAGAGAGAGAGAGAGAGGAGAGAGAGATGAGACAGAGAGAGACAGAGAGAGGAAGAGAGGGATTACCTCAAGACCCAGAAGAGTTGTTGGCCTTTGAAATACTGTAGAGACTGTGAAAGTCTATGGGGGTTTTGAAGTTTGACTAAGTGAATCTTTCTTTATGGTACTGCTACAAGACTACAGAGGGCCAGAGAATGGAATAGGGTGCTTGAATAAAGCTTCACAGCCTCATATACATAAGTCCCTGGTCTCCAGTATGTGGAACTGTTGAGAAGCATCAGAAGGGAAGGACTTTGGAGGGGGAACATGAATGGAGGGAGCCTCGAGGCTCAAACACCCACTGGGCATGGACAAGGCTCACTGCAGTAGAACAGGCACAGGAAAGAGACAACACTAGTTCTGACAGAGTGAGCAGCCAGGGTTAGAGACAGAGACACAAAAGGCTGTGGAGGGTGAGGACCCTGGGAAGGGTGGAGGGTGGGGAGGGATTGTTTTGTCACCTCTTGCTAGCACCCCTCCCCCACACTCAGGAGCCCTTTGTGACAGGAGATAGGAGCTCTGTGATGCAGGCCTGAGCTCAGCTGCCCTCTCCCACACAGAACTCTCAGAGTTCAGTTGCTTGAGAGCAACAGTGCAATTCAGATGGAGAATTTCCTCTCTGCTCTGGAAAGCATCGATTCTTCATGGCTGACCCCCAGCTTCACCACTTGGGCAATGGACATGATCTTTGCCTTCCTGTGTGGGCTGGGGCTCTTCCACCTCTTACTACCCCTCGTCCCCCTTAACTCACCCTCACCTCCACCAGCAGACAACACCACCGCCCAAAAGGTAAGAATGCCTTAGCTGAAACCAACACAATAGTCCCCTGTCTCCTTTTATAGGCTCCACTTCCCAATCAAATAGGGAGGTGGCTGGCAGCGCTGCTCAGCCAAGAGCAGGACCCCAGCCTCTTGAGAACTGGCAGGTAAGGCAGAGGGGACAGTGGGTTCTAGCTGTCTGTTCTCTGACCATGCATCCCTGGGAGAAGCCCTGGGACTATGTGGTCATGGACAGTGTTCCTGAGACAGCTGGGGACCTCTGAGAAAGGAAAGGTTCCGAGCACGGGTTCCTGTGTCCCCTACATCAAGCATGCTTGCAGGGTCACTGGAGCTGATGTGAGGTGGCCATGATGCAGGACACGAGGGACCTCTGGTCTCAAGAACAACTGTTGGTAGTTCAGAGCTGAGCATCTGCTTCCTGACACAACAATGACCAATGACATCCATGGTGGCCCTCACAGAGACACTTTGCCCATATTGTGGATCAGTGAATGGGGTTACAGGTGCTGTCTTTCTCTGTCAGGTGAAGAGAAAACGCATCAAGGTCAGGAAGAAAACCAGGACCATGAGAGGTAGGCTAATTCCTTCCCCTTCAAGGTGACTTCTTCACCAGCCAAACCTGCCCCCAGTAATGACACCAAATGAGTTGCAGAACCCTCAAGGATGCTTCTCCTTCGAAGGAACCAAGTACTGAAGACACTTCCCAGGTTCTGGGTTCAGAAAGAAGCTATGGGACAGCCAGGCCTGGGTGCACCCTGGGAGAGATGGTGTGAGAGGAAGGGGTACCATTTTGCCTGATTTGAAGGCTAATGGGTTGATAAACCTCTCTGAGACATTTTCCTATTTCAGGACACTGGCCCCTCCCTCCCCTCCACATGGAGATCAAGAAGCCATGGAGTTTCTTAGAAGTGGAAGCACCTGGTCCTGCCACACTTGTGCCTTGCTCTCGGTGCATTTGTTCATGCAGGATTACTCACAGAGCCTGAGCTCCTGTTTAACTTTTCATTTCTACTGAAGGGACATTTCATTCAGTCTGTGGTAAGACACCAGGTCCCTCCTTACCCCGCCATAACCCAGTCTCCATTTCCAGGTTACAGAGGCTGCAGGAAGAAACCGAAGGAGGACAAGGTACTGGTTTCCCTTCTGCACAGGTGAGCCATCTCCATTCCCTCTGGTCCTCACTCCTTGTGAGGTCTGTGATCACCCAGACCAGGGCATAAAGATACCAAGGGAAAAGGGGCCCTCGGGGTGAGTGGGTCATGGGTATAGTGCTGGAGTGGAAAAGGGCTTTGTAAAAAGAACAGTGTAGGACATTGGTTGTGATGGTCTGTGAGGGCTCTTCCCTACTCAGACTGCCCAGCCTCCTGTCCCCATGTTCTCCTGGCTGCAATGACATCTCCTTTCTCCCACAGCACAAAACAGAGGCTTGTCAATATCATCAGCTTTTGCAGGCTCTTAAGACAAGATGCCTCAGGTGAAGACTCCAACCCAGAAGCTGACAAAGCTCACCTGCCACCTAGGCAGCCCACAGAGGAGTCTGTGGCCACCAAGCCCCTAGAGGCTTCCTCGGCTCATCCCCAGGAACACCTGCTGCCCCAAAATTCTAAAATCTTGTCACCTGTCCTGCTGGATTCCTCAGCTTCTACTGAATCGCAATTGTTCATGAGTGACTCTCAGGCACCCGGAAGATACCATTCACCACCACCATCACCGCCAAGGGCACCTTCCCTCCCATCTCATCCTCCTGACCCTGTGGCTTGTCCTCCATGCATTCAAGATCCCAGCATGATATCCCCTCAGTGTGAGTGGAAAGTGCTGTGGAATTCACAAAGTGCACCTTTGAAAGGTTTGCCTTCTCCAATCCCAACATCCCTAGGCCTTGACCAGTCACATAGGCCTAACTCAACAATTCCAGGCTCTAATGACTTTAGCAGGCCTACTTCAACTACTTCAGGCCCAAACAACTCAAGCAGGCCTACCTCCAGAAACCTAGGGCTTGAACAAACAAGCAGGTCTGTCTCAACAATCCCTGATCTTGAATATTCTGGAAGGCCTACCAAAACCAAGTCAGACCTTGCCAACTCACATAGGCCTACAACAACCACACAAGGCTTTGACCAAACAAGCAGGCCTGTCTCAAGACCTTCCTGGTACCAGCTAGCTGCCAAAACCTGGGGCCACTCCAATTTATCCCATGGAGATTCCATGCAAGACCATCTTTGTCTCAGCCACCAAGAGGCCTCCTTCTGGACAGGCCCCTCTTCCAGGCAGATAGAGGCTGGGGAACTCTGTTTCATTGACCCTGAGCTGGAACTTCAGAATAGAAAGGGGGTGGAGCTGAAAGTTAACAATGGGATAGGAAAAGAAAACTCTGACCATGCTTTGGGCCCCATGGGAAGTATGCTGGAGTCTTGGATCAGCAGACAGACCACCACCACGACACAACAATTCTGGAGCAGAAAATGCACATCAGAGAAGTTTGCAGGTCACCAGCAGTCATTCTGCCAGAAGGCCTCGGGTGATCATTTCCCCATGAAATACAGCCAGCTTTTCTGGGGCCTCCCCTTTCTCCACAGCGAGTCCCTTGTGGCTACTGTCTATATGGCAGGGTCCCTGCAGGATTTCCCCTCTATCTTATTCAATGTTCTATCTATATACATCCCAATACACGATCAGACTATGGTACCTCCACAGACTACCTCCTCAAAGCCCCTGCTTCATCACTCTGTCAAATCCCAAAGTTTGACTCAGAACTTCCACTCCACCCCAGCTCCAGCAGTGCCTGAACTCCAAATCCAAGCCCCTGACCCATCCTCTCCCCGAAAGTCACCATGCCATCCATCTCTAATTATGGATTATGGGACTTCTCGTAGTACATCACCAAGGTCTCAATTCTCTGTCCCACCTGCTGTTCAACACCTAGAGCGCCACCTTTTAAGGAAGCAACAGGAAAGTAGAAGCGAATTACCAGCCATGGTGAAAAAATCCTGGGAAGCATGTAATCCACGCACTTCAAGCAGTTGGTTGGCCCAGGGCCATGAGTCTGTGGTCCACCTCCCGGGGGAATTCATTAACCCCAAGCTCCGGGAGCAGCTGGAACAGCATTTAAAAAAGAGCTTCATACAGCACCAGGGCCAGTGGCCTCAAAAGGTCCAGCTATCTCTGGAACTGATGAAATCACAGGACAAACTGGCAGGGATGGTTGAGGCAGAAGTTAATGGTCAGCGTTCTAGTTCCTCATCACTGGCAGATGAAAGCAGCCAGCATCCCTTGAGTGTTCCATCAGAGGGTCCAGAGATGTTTCAAACTCGAAGAGGTTCAGGCAAGGATGTGACAAAATGCCTAGGAAGATTTGAGAGAGATCATTACTGGAGGTCCGAAGGTCACCAAGGCAAATTTCTTGAAGAAATCTCAGACACACAGGAGGAAGCATACCATATGAGACCCCCAAGAAGAGATTCACGAACTGTTTCCCCAATAGGACCAGGAAAGAGGCAGCTAGAACAAACCCTGAAAAACTACTCACGCAGCAAGTGGAGAGGTACCAAAGAAAGTAAGGTGCCAGTGGCCATTTATCAATGTAGCAGTGTTGACCATGCTACAGTCCCTCATGCCAACTCAAACACAAATATGAACACTTGGAAAAAATCATCCATGAATGATGCAACCATCTGCAAAAAAACCTCCGAGGCTTCCTTCCTAGATACCGGCACTCAGAAGGTGCTGGAAACACATCTTACAAGACGCCTGGTAAGGCACAGATGGAGCCTGCCCCTCAGAGGCCTCAAGACCATACATGTATTCAATGAGAACAAAGCTACATCTTCACCGTCCAATGCCTCTTTGTCCTCCTGGGACTCTAGAGGAATCTGTACTAACAGAAAGTCCAGTGTCCTGGCAGAACCTTTTCAGAATGAGAACACCGCAAAGGAGAAAGTGATGGAAATCAGCAGCACTGTGCAATCTTCTACACCGAAGGCGCCTCCTGCTCTCCAGCCAGAATTTCTAAAGGAGCCTCCAAATTGTGACAACTCTGGACATTCTGAGGCCACTACAACTGTCCAGGAGGATGACTTGACTTCCCTTTCTACCTCTCATAGTCTCGTGGGCAGAGCCTGGCACCGTGATAAAGTCCTTAGACCTTGGATACACAATCCAGAGCCAAGTCCAGGCCTAGCCAAGGGTGTGTATGAACCACAGAAGAGTGAGGGTATGGCCTATAAAGAAATGCATGAAGGGGTATTAGTTCGGGAGTTCAGTGTGGCATCCCAGTCAACAAGTATCAGGGAGATCGGACATCTGGAAGAGGCAGAAGAGGAGGATTCATCCTACTGGGCATGTACCACAGACGCTGGGGAGATGACAAAGTCTCCAATCAACAGTGACTCTCTGGAGACCAGTGAAAGTCCATCCCATTCCAGACCCATTGCTCAGGGTCCAGAAGACTCGGGCGTGAGCACACCTCACTGCCTGGCACCTGGTGTTGTCCTGCAGGACTGTGCAACTGGAACATTCCTTCAAGACTGTGCCCCTGAGGTTCTGCTTGCTGCAGATATGCTGGCTTCAGGGGCCTCTCCGTCCTTCTTCAAGGACATGAACCCTTTGTCCTGCAGAGAAAATCTCACCATGATCTCCAAACCTCAGGAACCGTGGACTTGCCATATCTTTGGTCCAAGTGACAAAAAGGAATATGGAAGTCCCCAGCAGGAAGTACAGCTTTCAGGGATGAGGCCAGTCCAAACACATGGGTCAAATAACCATGAAAAGAAGTTTGGGGACAAGATTAAAAATGCCATTGTTTCAATTTTGACAGCCAAAGACAAAGGACAGGGGGACTTACTGCAAAATGCTAAGGACTCAGGCACCTGCCAAAGTGGAGCATCAGGCTTGAACAGATTTTTCAGGTCCCGACAGGTCACTGAAGCTCAGGACCTCATGACATCTGTTGGAAGGGTTCTGGAAGATAAATTGGGGATTCACCATGTGCATGCTTCCTCACAGAAGAATGAGCATCCAGACACACCTCAAGCTCCAGTTAGTAGGCAGGTCTGCTGTGACAAAATTCCAACTGCAAAGGCAAAAACAGCACAAGATAACACTGGTTGTGTTCATCAAGTTAAACCCAAGGGACACAGCCAGCCTTTCACTGACAAATGGATGCGCCCTGCTAACAACCGGGCCCAGGTGTCCAAAGAACCTGTGTCCCGAGCCAGTCAATATCAGCACAGGGCACAGGCACGTCCTTTTCCAAGCACACCCATCCACTGTCCTAGGCACTGCCCCTGTAGGAGTCGAGTCTCCGGAAGAGGAAGTGCTTTTCCATATGTGAAGTAATTAAACTTTTAGACATTACTTTCTCTGTGTATGGTTTATCTGGAGTTGGTGTCTGTAGTGCTAGGCCACAATGAAATGTCTGCCTGGTAATACATTAATACTGCTTCTGAAATAGACGGCTCCACAAACAGGAGACAGTGACATCAGATGTCTCATCACCTCCTAGGTCCATTCTTGTATTACTATTAATTACACTGTAACTATGGAAACCGAATCCTATATGATGTTTTGGGGTAGTCGTGGGGTGTGGTAACTCACCTCTACAAGACACAAAGAGGAAGTCTTTAGGATTATGGGTGCTAGGTCAACCTTGTCAAACACAAACAGGAAGTCTGTAGAATTAGTGGGAGCCAAGTCAACTGTATGAAACACCTCCCCAAGGGCTAGATCACCTGGCCTTTCTTCTCATTTTCTGTAACCTGACATTTGTGTAGCTGTGTACAGAGGCACCAGAGTACCATCCCATGGTCTTCACAGGTCACAAAGCAGGTATAGTAATGATGACAGCAGTTGTGTGGCATCCTTGAGTTCAAATCAGGGGAATCCTGACCTATGGATATCTTGCCAAGAAAGAAATGGCCTATGGATGGTAGGGAGGCCATACTCACCTCACTGGAGGCTGCCAACAAACTGAGTTCTCTAGCACCTCCCAGCTCAGTCTGTGTGATGAAATGGTGTCACTGTCCTACGCCTGTCTTCAATGGAAGAATGGTCAACATGACACACCTTTCCGCGAGCAGGGCAGCTGCAGACACCCCTGGTAATTTGTCATTTGCCCTCTGGTCCAGTGTAGACCCAGGCACAAAAAGACAAACATGTTATGTACTCACTCATGTATGGATTTTAGACATAGAGCAAAGGATCCCCAGGCTGCAGCTCACAACCTCAGAGAAACTAGGATACAAGGAGGACACTAAGAGAGATACTAGGCTCCCACACAGAAGAAGAAAGGGACAAGGTCTCTTGAGCATAGTGGAAGCACGGGTGCCATGGAGTGGACAGGAAATTATGAGAAAGAAGAGAATAGGAGAGTACAGGAGTATGTAGGGACCAAGAAGATTGAGTCTGAGGAGAAATAGTAGAGGGCAAGAAAAGAGATACCATAATAGAGGGAGCCATCAATGATAAGAGAAAACTGGCACCAGGGAAATGTCAACTAACAAT